GAGTCCATATCTACATTTTTAAATACCACACAGAACTAAATTTAAAAACATTGATTAATTGCATTATTAATTAAAAGAGACTCGGTTAGGATGACAAAACAATTTATTTCTTTCATTTTGCTTATTTTAGAAATTAGCACTTTTAATCTAGACAAATTTAGTTAGACCGGATTTTATGATTTATTATACAAGATATATTAAAGTAGTATAAAAATTAATTTATTAAATTGACGTTGTTAAAAGTGAAAAAAACTTTATTTTTGTTTTTTATCGGAACAACAGTTTTAAGAATTAATTTGTTAATTTGTTGCAACCAAAAATAATATATTATGACCAAATTTACAAGTATAGTGCGTCCAAATTATATGTATAAACAGAGAAAATAAATACGTCTGATTCAAAATTACAGGAGTAAAGAAAGCAAAAATTAGTTGAAATTAAGTCCATTAATTAGATCTCATATAACATGGATGATTTTAAAACAAACATGTAGTATCGTAACTAAAAATTTACATTTATATTTATGTATCTTTTTCAAGAACTTTTTTCAAATTTACAATCTGAAACCAAAAAATACAAATTATTAATAAAAATGTATTAAAAGTTACTTTTCCAATACATACATTTTCCTGTTTTAATATCTACATAAATTTTAAGTGCCATCGTTTTAGCGATCACTACCGGATGCGTACAAGTGTTTAGTAGTCTTGAGGTACCATCGAAGTCACCTTGAAGTGCGAAGGCAACTGCCAAATTGTAACGAACAACATTTTGTGCCGCTTCCAATGACTTAACTTGCCAATCTTTTGTTTCAAAATCAAATGCATTCAACCCATTGACAAATTGTGGATCCAAGTAACTGCGAGCTTCTCCAATTTTATCCATCATTATCAGTGCCTGCCCAGAGTATAATTTCACTAACATTCTGAGAGACAAAGAATTTAATTTATAACGAAAAAATTATTTAAAACAACTTGTTACTTATGGGCATCCGATAATTTTTCGGACTTAGAGCACTCCCTTGCCATTTCCAAGGCAGTAACGTAATCACCAAGTCGTATTGAAACATAACTGTAAGCAGTATAAATTGCTGACAACATTCTGTCCAAAGCATCTTTTGATATAGGTGCTGATGGTGTACAAAAATTATTATCAATGACTTCTTTCCAGTTTTGATTTTCTGTACCGCCACCCTCTTCATTTTGTTCACTGAAACTGGACTTATAAAATTTTGTTAACGTTAGAGCATTGCGTAAACAAAGTATGGCGAATTCCATGGTAGGTTCTGGTAATACGGCACACTGAGTACTTGGACTAAAATTCACCAAATTAGAATTATCAGTACTGAAAAAATACAAGCTTGATTTTACTCACGGATACATTGTGCGAGGTGTTGGTTTTAAAATATATTTTCTTCTCGAACCAATATTAACAACCGAAGAGACCATCGGTTTTTTATCTTCAAGTAGAAGTTTCTGAAATATAATTTGGACACCCAAAAATAAATTGATTGTGTATGCTGTTTGTGATTAAAATTATTTACCATTTCATGTTCCATGATACATGCTTCTGCCATACGCGTCCAAAATCTTGGATTACTGTGATAAAATTTCAATGGCACCAAAAAACACTGGAATGCTTCTTTTGGCCGTCGTAGATGCAGCATGGAAATACCTAGATTATATAATATTTCACAAGATCGGGCAGAACTAATATCATAAAGTGGTATATTCCTCATATTGGAAGCTATTTGCTTATCGAAAGTAATGGCATTTTGAAAAAACTTAGCTGCTATGGCGTAGTGTCTCACTCGCAAATGTATTATGCCCATATTGTTCGCAATACACGTCTTCAAAATATCAGTATCTGTGCTGAAATAAAATACTTCTTGAATAACATCTTAAGTGATAAAATGGAAAAAACTTACTTATTCTCATTGCTTTCAGTGTTGATGATTTTTAATTGTTTTGCAGCCATTTGAAAATCCTTCATAATGTAGTATTGTCGTGCTTTCAAAGCTGAAAATTCTAATGACTATAACACACTGTCGTATAAAAAGCGATTATGAGTGTATTTAAAAGAAATAATTACCCCATCATCCGGAATAGCAACTGTCCTGCGGTTCAATACGTTTGTGAGCATTGCCAAAAGTTTGAAATCCTCTAACAATTGTTTATCAGTAAAATTTTCATCTGGTAGTAATGAATCTGCGATCCGTGGAAATTTGATTTGTAGTAAGGCTAGGAAATGTTGTGCTCTATTAAGTTGTTGAGAAGCAAGTAGCAATCTTAACATTAACGTACTAACAAGTAGAGCAAAGTTTTCTTCAAAAGATTCTAACTTCTCCACAACAGGCAATAAATACTTAATACCTGTCCGATGCAGTGAACGATTATAATATATAATTGCTTTATTATAATTCGCTATGGGAGTGAAACAAACTCCGGATGAATTCAACTTTGCATTTTCAATCTGTAGATTTTGTATAAAACAAAAAAAAACATGATAAATATTGTGCGGAATATAAAATTGAAAAAAGTATAATTTTTAGGGATATTCACGATCTTAAAAAACGGGCTAGACAAACGAGTAGTATAATATCTATGCAAAGCGGTAAAAAAAATACCTTTACTCGAAATGTGTCTTGCTTACTATTTTACTAAGTTATCGATATCGTTATTTGAGATCTTGAACACCACTAATGGTTCATAATCAAGTTAATTTCTGTGCTGACCATAAAACTTTTTCGGATATCATCACATATTCATTGCTTGATTCATTGCTATTAATCGTTTAATTAATTCATTAGACAATATCTTTTGGAGTTTTAAATTTACTCACTATTCTTCAAAGTCTTAACTATTATATTTTTGTATTTTACATTAACAATATTCTACTCATATGAATCTAACCGCTATAACTACTTTGCATATCTTGAAAATATGAAAATGAAAGGATAACATTGTTGTTAAAAGGTTTCTTGACATAGATCTGGTCACTGTAGAAACCAAGAATAACATTATTGGAAAATATATGAGATGACTAGTAGTTTACAATAAAAGAGAGATAAAGAATTGTATATTAGCGGAGTTGCAAACAGTATCTTAACTCCTTCCTTTGGGCGCAAAACTGGAAGAATCTGAAGAATCTGGAAGTTTTTCAATTAGTAGGTAAAACCAAGCCAGCAGACTTGTCTAGAAACGATGGTTCAAAGAACGTCTAGATGTCAAATTCGTCGATACAAGCAAATTCCTGCGGACTACGAGTAAAACAGCAGCAACAACAGGAACGTTGGAACGGTTTATGTTAAAATTCAACAACATAAAAGGACGTTGAAAGAATTGAAATTGCAATCAAATGGCTAAGAATTTTCATCTAAAAAAAAATTAAGGGAGATATCATTAAATCTTGCTTTTATATATTCAAAAATACTATATGGATATTACAGATATATAAGTTGAAATAAGTACTCTCTGTATCAAGTAGAAAACCGATGATGCACAAGATATGCATTTATTTGAGTTGTTATGTAAATATTATATACAGTATTACACATAAAGGATAAAGCTCTGAAATTATTTACGAAAACTGACAGGCTTACCAACACCGTTTTATCGATTCTCAGAATGGTTACAGGCTCCTCGGGGAGGTATGCAGATCTGAGGTCAATTACTGCTTAGTATGATGAATTAATAAACAATAATCCAGTCAAAGCTTAAAAAGGGGTTATAAAGAAACCACTTGCTCAACTAGCCTCAACATAATAGTTACACAATTTTTTATTTTATTATAAATAAGTTTTATATTTATTTTTTATACAAAGTTGCGTACATTTGATATCAAAACACAACATTGTACATTTAAGGTACAACAAATTGCTGTATCTTAAGTTGAATCAATATATCTTTGCATTTTAAATGTCAAAATTTTGTTTATATGGGGATGGCATGCACATCTCAATATAAATGTATATATGGTTTAAGCATAATTGTTAATATTAACGTCAAAAGACTTTTAACCAATTCAAATCAAAAAAAAAAAAATTATTTAAGTTAGTAATAATGTCAAATATATAATAAATATTAGTGCTAAGGCTTTTAATTCTGTATAGTATATGTAAAAATGCCCCACAACAGACTATGCAGTACTCAAGCAACTAGATCGTACCCAAATTATAATAAGCAGCAAAATGTACAATCAGGAACGTCATCGGGTGTGATGGAGCCATTGAACTCAATACGTGAAAGATATCAACGTGGTTCGCAACACATTCACAACAAAGTTCGTTCTGATTTAAAACAAAGCATGGAAAAGGAACGGAACAATGGTAAATTACTTTATTAAACAAAATTAATTTATTTAATTATATAGTATTATAGTTGAGAGAAATGTTGATATTTTGTGCCAAGCTAAGCAAATTTTCCAAAATTTCACTGAACATGTTCGGAAAAAGGATGAAATCATTAAAACTTCAATGGAAAACTTAAGAACCTTAACAAAACAATTAGAACAGTCAGCGAATGATCCAAGGAAGAAACATATGGAACAACGTTTAACGCAATTTTTAACTAAATTAGAAAAATGATTCCATTTGTAGAATAACTGAAGTGTATTACCTCTTCCTCGTATAATTCATTTAATGTTTTTAATAACTCTTGAAAATTAATTGAGTTTGATTTTGAAAATGCGATCACAGCACAGTTATGTTTTATTTTCGTTTTATGTTTGGGGCTTATGTTTTCGAGCTCTCTAAGCGTGTTCAAGGATTCATCGTACTTTTCACTGAAATGAAAATTTTATTTAGTTATATATTGTCTGTTTTTAAATAAGATTATTTACTTGTTATATTCCACATATGCACGTGTAAATAATTCATTTTCTTGGGTGCTATTGTTTTCATCTAACATTTTTAAGAAATAATTTTGTCTTTAGAAATATAATTGCAAACAATAAATTTGGTGCTTTCAAAACAGATGTTTTTAAATTATTCAGAGTTGCCAGGAGTCAAAAAATATTTTCTTATTTGATTTAAGTCACAGTATTGTGACATTTATAAGCGATTCTGTCGCTGCTATTTCGCTTGTATTGGAAAAACACTATTTGTTGTGTTTACATTTTATTTAAATTATTTTTATTTCAATGTATATTTAATTTAAAGTAAATATAAGAAAAGGAATATATTAATGTATTAATAGAGTATATGTACTTATAAATATTCACCTGTTACATGTATGGATAAAATGTAATGCTGGCAGTTAATTATATTTAAAATCGGTACAAAAGGTATGGTTAAACTATTATAGTTATGCTGCATAAAAATTTCGTAACGTTTTGTAGAGTGTATTGATTATAGAAAGTAAAAGGGATTTTTTATTGGGAATTGGGAAATCTAGACTTGTACTCGATTTGTCACTTCTTGCTTTAATTTTGTTGATCAAATGAACATATTAGGGCTAATCTCAAAATTTGACAACTTCATCGATAAACCATAAACGCTTGGGACAAAAATCGTATTTAAATCCAAAAAAAATACTCATTTATAACGGATGAAAATTGTATTTTGAAGTATATAGTATTAGTATATAGTAACTTTGCACTCGGTTTGGTAGTTTGTATTTTAAATCTAATAATTTTAAAATATATGACTGACATAGAAAAAAATCGTAATAAAGCATAACACAATTGACAAATTGGAATAAAACAAAGTAATTATAAGATTAGCTTAGTGTAATATAGTAGATTTCAGTACAGAACAACAATACAATAACAAAACATTTAATCAACTTAACTAAACCTCCTTTTAAAATTCGTCAGGGTTCGTTTTTAAATAATTATTCTAAACGGTGCTGTAGATTGTTTATTTCCAAATATCACTGAGGTATTTTTGACAATATCTAAAACATGATTAGATAGAAACTGATCAAAAAATTTTTTTGTGGTTTTCTTCGCTATTTAAGACATATCTTTGAGAAAATAGATTACTTTGCCATTATAGATATTAAATATTGTTGTCGTTATTGTAGGCCGCAAGGATATATAAAAATAACATGAACAGAACCACAAAACGAATACATGGGTTAGGATGTGATGGTATTGGTAGTGTGAGGTGGGTTGGAATTATTTACGAGTCATAACGCATTGAGGGGAATTTAATATGAACTCAATCAAGATCAATGTGTTTAAACCTAGTCACTTCTATGTGATAGGTCCAAAGATAAATTGGATTGAAGTTTATATGAGCTTTGGGGCAAGAAAACAGATAAGGCAGCATCACGGTGGATAGAGCTGCAGTTAGGGCACACAATGAGAATTGACGCATTTATGCATAGCATCATAGTCAATTTTTCTATTGAACCACTTTTCTATAATAGAAGATATTTTTAAATATTTATACATATTTTCAAATATCTTTAATTATATTTTTTGAATAATTGTAACAAACAAACTATTCTAGTTTTGCAGAAATTCATATTTCACCAAAAATGAAAGTCACTCGTTTCATTTGTATATATTAAATATAATTTAACTTCAAAATATTTTTCGATTGAACTATACAAGTTTAACTATTGGATTTCAAATAAAGTATAATTTCGATCGATACGAATACCTATGTATAATATTTGTTCACTTGCTATTACATATAATGATTAATTCAGATAAAAAGACTAATTTGAAGTTTTTTTCAAGCAATTGAAATTCCAATCAGAAAGATTAATTTAAATAGCACATCGATTATTACTTATAAAATAGAGAAAATTGCATATTTTAAGATAAATAAACGTTTTAAACAAATATATTATTGATATATGTCTATGTTAAACAAAATAAGTTAGAATTCGAAAAACATTAAAATAGAATATCTCAAAAGAGTTTAATATTGTATATATTTTAACTAGCACTATTTAAAAAAAAAAACTTAAATTTTGATACACTTTCTGAGCAACAACATCCTCGCTCTCTTTACACGCTCTACATAAATTCTCATGCGAAATCATTCGTTATCTTTTATGTATTGCGAATTTTTCCAGGGACATAGTTTTTATCAATAACATTTTCCTGCAAAAACATATGCAAGCATCGTTCATTTTGCGCCAACGGATGTCCGGCAATTTTATTGATAAACGCTTCGAGGCCTTTTCGTCGCTCTTCTATGAAATTTTCATCGAAAATGCCTTCATCGCCTCGAAATGGCATTTGTCGTTTCCAGGCTTTGCCAGGCAATGGTGGTACAACAATCTGCAGAACAGACAAAATTATAAAAATTAATTTTTTAATTTTAAAAATAATTGAACTTATATGCATACACACACACACACCTTACTATCACGTTCCAATTCATTTCGGAGCCATTCAAAGTCACTATAACGTCGTCGTACGCTGGATTCTTTGACTTTAAAAACCGGTAAATTTGTCTACAAAAATAAAACAATAGTCAAAAAGTTAATCTTTAACATTTAAAACGTTTTTAAATTTTTAGTGTTTGCCAAAAAGCAATATATAAGCAATTTTCTTAATGAGGTTTGACCTCATTAAGAAAGTGAAAGAATGTCATTCCAAAGTTGCTTGAGACATTGAAGCGCATTATCAGTGCAACACATCCGCAGGCAAGCAAAATAAAAATAAAAAAACTAAAACAAAATATAAAAAAAAAATAATAATAATGTAAAAAAATTATCAATACAAGACGTGCGAGAAAGAATATGTGACTAACCGTTTTGGCACGTCGGTCAATGTTCTAACAAAAATTTATCAATATATTATGCCTCATCGACGCCCTATAATCAATTTCATTTTAAAAACGGCGATAATCTTTAATTAGATTTATTTATTTTTAATGCAATTGAAGCTCTTCACCGCCCTCATTTTTCTATTAACTATGCATTTCATTTTTATCGCAAACTTGTTTCTAATAGAAAAATTACTACACACTTACCCTCATGCGGACTTCATAGTCGGTGTAACGTTTCTTTCCTGCAGCCATCGTAGTTAGCGGATTAACCACGTCAATTTCGAGAAAGTTTGCTGGCACTGCGTAAGCATCGTCCAGTGTTTGTTTTTTGGCATTTAGTCGGCGAGTTGCGTCAGTAGTGCTTCCGTCCGATGATTCCACCATCATTTCAGATATATACAAATATATTTATTATTTTTATTCAGTTTTACACGCAATTAAGTCCACGTTTAATATCCAGAAACTGTTTCTTTGTTTTTTTCCAGTAATTTCAACAATTAACTCAACATTTACGCCCAGATTTTGTATCCAAATTGTATAGAATATTTTTCACATATAAATTTGTCTAATTTATTATTGGAATTAAAAACTTCTCAATTAAATAGTGCCAGATTTTTATGAGGAAATTTCTTTAATTTTCTACGTTAACTGTTAAAACAAGAAACAAGTAATCAAATATCGCTTTTCCACTTTTTTTCTTCTTTGCGTTCCGACATCACTTCTTGCCTACTTGGTGCAATATTATTTTCTTTTTTATTAGTTGTTTTTCTAGAAATATATTAAGCAAAGTATGCAGATATTTGTATGGATTAATATTTCAACACATTCACAATAGAAAATTGCTATGAAATGAAACTCATGTACAAAATAAATCCATTCCAGTATGTATCTGGCAAAGAAAATCGCATTTCATATAAGAGCCCCCTAGTATATATAATAGTCCACAGTCATAATTAAAATTAAAACTGAATGTAAAATTCATATTTTAAGTTTTATTTTAATTAACTAAATTTTTGGCTGACCATACTGCAGCTTCGAGTTTTGCCAAATACCCATTATCAGTATTATTCGTAAATATTTTTTTAAGACGGCAAATACCAGGAATCAAACTCATGTCCTGTCAGCGCAATTTTAAAACTTGTTTTTTAATTCTTAACAATGTAGTCAGTAGGAATAGAAACATATATATTATATATAATGCTATTTGTGTTGTCTTAAGCAATACGATAGAAAAATTTTAATCAAATTTAAGTAAAAAGGCTTAAACTTATCTTTTTTGCACTTTCATACCAAAAAGTTGATTTAGTTTTTACATTATCGTTTCGGGTTTTGTTACATTGTTACATTTTTTAATATATTGTTGAGCAATCAGCTGGAAACGTTATTATGGAAACCTGGATTGTTATTTATAAATAAATATTGAAAAATTTATTATTTTTCTCCAGAAGATACAATACATTTTTTTGGGAACTTCAAAATTGGAACAAAATTTGATATCCCTTCTAGACAATTTAAAAGCATATATGTATGCACATATTGTTCAATATGAATACGTCTGTATGATTAATCGGGGGTTGGCAGCGAAACCCGCGGGGCAGCAGAACCCGCTAGCATATATAATAGTCCACAGTCATAAAAGCGACTAAAATTGAATATATGTACTAGCTGGTTTAATGTAAAATTTTAGAAAATTTAGTTCTTAATTCTTACCAATATAGTCAGTGGGAATAAGAATCTGTGTTACTCTAGTTTTATTTGAAAGCACATACATAAATTAAATTATATGACCCTTAATTGAAAAGTACTGGAACACGTAAAAATTACATTATTAGATTATTGTTTGTACGCGAAATGATGTACAATTACCTTTATTTTAGACTTAAAAATTTAAAAATTTAACCTCTTCACATTCTGTGCAAAAAGTATCAGCACAAAAAATCACCCAATCGGTATTTATTTTATTGCGTTCAGAGTGGGCCACTGAGTACACACAACTATGTTACCCGCGGTTGACCCAAGCAATCTTCTACGCAGTCGTAGACTGAGTAAAGGATCAAAATAAAACCGTTAAATCGAAATAACCGTTAAATGTCGAATATATTTTTATGATCTATTTTAAATGTTAACATCTCTGATGTTTATAAGATTTTGTTAAGCATATGAGTATTGACGACATGCCACTCTTATTATAGCATTATCAGTAAATATTAATGCTTTGTTACGGAAGAGTATACATTAAACTTCGTAATTTATATTACAGTGATAGTATTAAAAAAAATTTAAAACAATTAAAAAATAAGTTAATTTCATCAGCATCCAGTATTGATTGGGATTATAGCTGTTTTTGACGTAAAAATGTACTTTACATGGGCAGAATCTTATATTGTCTGTATGATTATGTGATTTTGTTAAATTAAACCCAGGAGCCATTGCCCATTATAGTCTTTAATTAAATTTGGTGAAATATTTTTGGCTCAATTGTTAGAAGTGTCCAGAGTGATGTTACCATAAGTAATTTTTCCGATATTAGGACTTCTTTTAATTTGTTTAAACACCAATTACTTGCTATAAAATCTATATGACCCTTCGATTTCGCAAATTGTTCAGAAGTAAAAAGATTTAGAATGTTATTGTTAATAGTATCTTTTCGATGTCAGTATTTTAATATAATTTTTACATAATTAATTAGCAATTATATTTTGTCCCAGATTTGCCGAAAAATAATTTTCAACTATTTAACGGGTACCCTAGAACTATTTCACGCTATTGTAAATCTAACCCCTATGTGGACGGTTTAAAGCAATTGTATCATACTTACCATTACCTTTTTTGATATTTTCTATGTAGCTTCAAATATTGATTTTTGCTTAATGCGACGTGAATACATTTCTATTATTTTTAAAAAAATGCATTGCATTTGAGTAAATTCGGTATTAGGGAGTTAGATATGATATAAGAAGAAAGATATGATATAAAATTAATTTTTCTAATAAAAACCAAAATATCAGCTGTTACGGATATCCAACTTTTATACAGGGATAAAAATTCCGTCGAGTGCGTTGGCATGGAAAGATATTGACTTATTAAATAGAAGAGTTTTTTAATATGAAATATATGCGTGATTAAAAAAATTGACGATTAAGAGGAATTTATTATAGAGAAATTCTTAGACTTATTTACAGTTTTCCCCTTATGCTAAAGGTCAATATAGCTTAATTCTAGATATATCAGATTTTAAGGTAAGACATATACACAATGTACACAATAGCACTAAGCAAACTTTGCATATTACTAAGATTTGTTAAAATTCTTTATTTTTCCTTATTGCTTATACTTTCTTTAAATCGTTATTAAATTGTTAATAAATCCTTTAAAAATAAAAAATGAATTATTTATTTATATTGTATCAAAAGTTTGATATTTTATTTCGATTCGTTCATATTCACCTAAAAATTATATAAAATTACAAACAATATTTTGTTTATTTATATATCTTAATTATTTTAAAAATATTTTAACAATAATAAAATCAAACATTTTAAAAATATTTTAAATTTCGGATCATTTCAAAAAGTTTTCAAATATAGATATATTTATTTAGTAAAAATATTTAATTTTGAAAACATGTTAAAATGGTTCAAAATTTAATATTTGTCAAATTTTTATTAATAAGATTGCACACTATGAAAACATAGAATATAGAAAATAAGAAAACATAGATTTTAAAATTTTGATTTTTCAAAATTTACATACAAATCCTTTCGTTGGCATTCGGTGTTTTAAGGATGAATTTTTAATTTGTGATTGTTTGTTATATTCTTGGCGTTCTTTTTTAACGTTATTTGAAAGTAATACTAATAACAATATGAATTAATAAAACTAATGCATAATTTTTGGTTCTATTGCACGTTCCATGCAGCAGTTTAACTGAACTGAGAACGGAGTGAAATTGTTCTCACGGTCATGCTAAGTACACTTCACTTACTTACATAAAACTTATCCTATACGAATTGTCTACAAGCTAGTAACACCTATGATGATAATATCTACAAATACGCGTTGTGTTCTACAGACTCTATATATCTACACTAAAAAAACTAAATATTTACCCCACAATAAATTCACAAATTGTAAAAATATTAATTGTATTTTGTTCAGACCCCAATAAGAAGAGCATTGACCAAAAACTCAATGCAGTGTTGTTGAAGAGAAACGTATCCTTTTCGAGTTGTTTGTGGACGTCGTATAGTTTTATTCCAGTTTCTGAGCAGCTTTAGCTTTAATGGCAGCTTCTTTATTGTAGTTTTTAATATAAAATGAGGAGAACATATAAGTAAATAGACCGGCGTTAAAGGTGAGTAGTGCAGCAATAGATTTCGGGAAAGAGCAATTGGGTTGAAATTGGATTTGTAATGTGTGTACGAAAATGATTAGAAATTGAACCTATTCGAATATAAAAAGAAGTAGTGTATAGTCTTTGAGTAATATTATGGATATTTCAAATTCAATTACAATTTGTAGAATAGTGATATATTTTTTCCACCACAAATACTTTTGTACTTTGGGACCCATAGCAGAGAGCAGGTAATAAGCATACATAATTATATGAATGAAAGAATTGATGAAACCGAGTAAAGTTCCATGACCACCTGTAAAATAGAACATTAAAAGTTTATTTATTTTTCATTTTTTTTTTAATAAAAAAAAAATACATATTATAGTTTTCTTACCAGCGAAGTATTTAACGCCAACAAATGCGCAGACTGGCATTAAAGTGTGGTGATATAAATGAAGGAATGAAATTTGACGTTGTCTTTTACGTAAAACAAAGAACACAGTATCCAGCAGTTCAGTAATTTTAGCAATATAATATAACCATACAGCACGTGCCATCTATAGATATTTTAAAAATTATATAAAAAGGTTAAAATATATATGTTTTATTTTCTAATCCTACCCGCATAGATGTTGGATCTGTGGCGTAGGTTACTGGTTGACAACGGAAATTATAATGACCACCCCAACCGCCTTTATAACCCTGTTGTAATTTAAGAATAATTATAGTTAGAAATAGCCTTATTGATATATTATATATATTTATATGATATTTCACATAGGTTACTTCTCTTAATAGTTGCTTATAACACAAGCTTTAATCCAATACAAACCTCATAGAATAGCACCCAACTTAATATAACTTGTACGGCATTATATACTACTAATGTGTTTTTCAGTTCATACGGTTTACGGTCACGCATATAGCGTGGTCCGGCATATAGGCAGAAATATAAGTACGCTCCTAGTATCATAAATAATGGTCCCGGTGCATTTGAGAGAAACCACGTTTTTGTTCGCATATCTTCATGCTCCACAAAAAAGTTGACCATTCGATCAACAATGGTATTCGTTTCATTCATTCTTAGCGACATTTTGTTTTTGTTAGAGTCTGAAAATAAAATGAAATAATTTTAAATCTCAAAATAAACATATTAAATTTTTGAAAAAAATTCTCTTTTAATATATTATTATACATATAAATTATTTACATACTCGTATAATATTTAATTAAGTTTTTACTATAACTATATCAAAACGCATTTATTATAGGAACTTATTATAGTAAACTTATTTATTATTGTTATTATAATTATTAGTCGTTTTGTTATTATTATTAATATGCTAGTCACATAATCGTACTAAGAAACATAGATTTCTCTGACTGTTTTTTCCAGAACTGTTTTTGATAAATCATCTGACTATTATTATAAACCTTAACA